CATTTATACAGTTAACAGAAAACTTGAAACATTATTATTATTCAGTGCCTCAGAGTCCATCTGGCAGTTGTCAGTACTTTGTCAGCTGAGGACTTATTCAGTACCACTTGCTCACTGTAAAAATGTTGAATTAGCAAAAATAAGTGGATGGACGGTCGTAAATGTTGGACATACAATGTGGGTCATTCTGCCCACACATTAAAACGCTTCAAAAATTATTATAATTAATCTTTACAGAAGGAAAGATTAATTATAATTAGGTGTCACATAATACCTGAAACCAACCGTTTTTTAACAATGCAATTGTTCCAAATACCATACACCAACTAGACATCCACCTCCAATTTGACAGGCATTGAACAGACATTCAAAAATGAAGCAATCAGAGCCTATTTATCATCCAAGTAATGTAACAGACTTTTTCATGTCCTCATGTCATTGTCAATGTCAATAAACTCAGTTTAAATAACTGAAAGAAAAATAATTTACCTAACAAAAAAAGACGGCATGATTAAAAGCCATTAGCAGAAACAATATCAGGGGACACTGCACCTCTACTTCACACTGCTTCCCAACAGATAAAAGTACAGGACATCCACATGCTACAAGGTAGATGCTATACTGTAAATTCTCTACACACAAACATTACAGGTTAACAGCGCCATCACCCTACAGCATTTAGCCGTTACGTCGCCACAGCCACCATGTATAAATCTGTTAAGAAAGTCTTGTTTCCTCATTACGGCTGTTTTACATTGGCTGGTGGTACGCCATATTTTTTGAAAGTGTTTTGAAAAATTCTGACTTGACTATAGTTACGTACAGTACTTTTACTTATTTTTACTTATGGTCAATGCCTCTCTGTGTGCTAATTTAAACTTTGATGTTGTATATAAAGATATGCGTGGAATATATTTTCCATGTACCATAACAGTGAGTTCAACGAAGCAGACCAAATAGAATAGAACTATGATATCACATATCTCTTCAATCACAAGAACCTCAGACAGCAAAGAAATCCAGATGACTCCCCAAGGTGGCAGATGACAGACATTCGAAGGGCCAATCTCTCACAAGCAAACAAATACACAGCTCTGGCAAAACATGTCATACTGGATATTTCCTTGTGCCACTCTGCTCCAGGGCTGCAATCCTTGCTTCACCATTTCGTGTTTAAGAGCAAGAAATCAATATGTAATCATATTCATACTTGCATTGGCAGAAACGCAGAGGCAGACATGGAATTGAGATGACCCGCTCCACGCAGAGGGACCACGGGTGAGGCCAAAAGCATTCAAATCATTTTCTGTTTCTATTTCACCTCTTTACAGCAGCCTGATTTAAAATCTCAATCTATCCGTCTGTCTCCTGACAGAGGTGACTCTTCAAACCAAGCAGATTAATGTCAGAGAAGACACTTTTTTTTTCTCTGAAATTGTATTTGTAGGGCTGGGCTGATAGAGCCTACAAATGGACATTGTTCAGCTGTAGCTGCTGCTAATCATTAACATCTAGCTGGCCACTATAGAGGTCATCCCACTGTCAATCTGACTGTCAAAAAGGGTTTTTTTACACTACGTGCTCTGCAAAAGACATTGTTGGTCGCTTTTTTTTTGTTATTTAAGGCTGGCCTTAACCTTCGCCCTGAGAGTTATGATTTATTGGGTGTGGCAGTATAGCATACAGCAGCAGTAAATATATATTTAATGTTTTCAATGTAGGTCATTTAGCCTGGTAATTTGAAAAAAGTAGCTCCCAAGCCTATAAGTGTGGGCACCCCTGGCATAGAAAGTTTATGAAAGGCACATTATGATTTATTTGAGTTTCATTTTGGTCTGTGTTGACAATTGAAAACAAATCATTATTTTAATTATTAGAGTAATAAAGAATCAAAATAAAACACAATGATGCTTTTTGAAAATAATTGCTGATAATAAGTAAAGAATATGGATAAAAAGATAAGACTTTCATATTAGATGAGGACCAAAATAATCCTAATGTTGTGTGATGTCCTAATCTTTATGTTCTCATTTATATTAAACATGAGTTTAAAAGTAAAGTGGAATAAAATGTAGTTATTGTAAAAAGCAGCAATAATAAAATAATAATACCTTTAATAATAATAATAGTGGCTAATGAACATGAATTAATTAAATTACATCCCTACAAATTGTACAGGACAAAGGCCTGTGTACATTAACTGTACTACTGTGGAGAACATTTATTTGATGTGTCCATGCGTCAAATGAACGTTTTTGCATTTATAACTATTGCTCTATAGATGGCTAAGTTTAGTTTATATAAATTAAATATAATATAAAGTATAAAATGAAAAGATTCCTGCCACAGCCCAAAAACATGCTCATTAGAGGATTTGGCTGATTGGACACTTTAAACACAGCTACTGTAGCTACTTCCATATCTGTTGAGGCTCTAACTGATACAGATTCCTAGCTGTTAGCTTTTCTTATTCAAACGGCTAAAGCGAAATAAATAATACTAGTAATAATGAGAATAATAACTTATAATATAATATATAAGTTATAATAACTTTATTAATCCCACACTGAGGAAATTCTGTTAAGAGCAGATCTGAGACAGGCTGCTTCTTGGAGGGATTACAGCTGTGTGTTATATTATTTAAAACAAAAGATCAGCTATGGTTGACATTTCCTGAGGGTATAAGTGAACATTTGTCATTCAGTCATCATAATTTGAACAGTTGTTCCTTTATGGGTTTCCTTTGGGTTATCTCTGGACGTGGAATCAGAGCACTGACATAGACTAGAGGACATGGTTGCGAGAAAATTGGACAGAGAACTGTAAAAAATCTGTTTTGTACTGCGTGAGATCAATAAGCCTACTATTTCCTTTACTTCCTTTGTTCACACCACCCCAGTGAAATCAAAAGATATCATCCTGCTACAATGACTTTTGCATGGTCTGAAGAGAAAAAAAACTGCATGGTAACACAAAAGGCAAGTCACTGTACTGTATACTCCCTCCATGGCCCCAAGACATAGGCAGTAAGTGAATATGTGAGCTTTGAAGGCATGCATGATTCATCCTTCTTTAAGCTCTGCTGGATTGAGCTGCCTCTGTGTTTAGAAGAACGAAGGCTCCCTTCACACCCACATTGACAACGGATGACTCAATGAGGTCACCATTCGAAAGAGGTATCATATCAACTTGTTAAAGGGTCCAACAAATACATACCACTGTGGATGAATATGAGAGAAAGCGAAATGAGGGACACTTCTAGTGGACATTGCGATACAGTATCTATTAATGCATTTTGGATGGTAAAATTCCACCTGTCTGTGGTGTTTTCCTGAATGTTAACCATGGAAGGTAAAATGTCACACTGCATGTCTTCAGCTCCTCTCTTTTGTTCTGCCAAGTTATATTGGCAAAACAA